CCCTAGGTCAAAATAACTTTCACCTGTTGCTTCACCATCGGAACACCCAGACCAACCAGAGCTGCAGGACTTTCTACAGTATGTTGGCAACACGTACGTCCACAATGGAGCCGCATTCCACGGCAATGTGGAATGTGATACGAGCGCAACCATGGAACAAATGACCAACAGACCATGTTGAATTGTAAGTGATTAAAAACTGGGAATTTTCTGATTAATTGAATAATCGCCAAGCACACATTCATTTTTGAGTGTGTCAGGCCTAAGCCACTATCCACATGTTTTATGTAAAACCAATAGCCTTTATGATGATTTATTTAGTTTGTGATTGTTGTTGCCGTTATTATTGACATATTATTCAAAGGCATAACACTAGCCTTACATTAACACTATCATTATTTCATGCATAACCAATATACAGGATAAAAAGTAAAAAATTATCTTTTTTGTAGCTTACCTCGTCCACTCTGAACGATGCTGTTCAAGTGCCGCCACCATCGCTGTGGATGTTTCGTCACCACCGTGAAAGACCAGCAGCAGCTTGTGAGAATGAATGTGACGATGGCAGACGGGTGATCCTCCCCAATAAGGAGACGCAAGTGGAGGAGTTTGTGAGGCCCGTCTCCAGGCAGGCTCAGGGAGGCAGTACATTGGCACGGTCGCAGAGATCTGGCATCTTACTGGAAGGCTGTCAGCGGCAATGGTAAGGAAAGGGCTTAAGCCCCTCTTTTTTTTGAGAAAAAAGCTAGAGTTTTCCGTTTTGGCCTGTTACTCTCTTAATTCGTCACTGCCGGATTCAGCACATCTTAATGTGGTGTGTGTGGTGTGTGTTATATATATATATATATATTTTTTTTTTGATTTTTTTTTTCATTTACCTGTATTATTGTTGTTGTTGTTGCTGTTATTATTTTAATTAATATTATTAGCATTTTATTCATTTATTTTTTTGTAAAGCTGTGCCAGTGGATTATTTCATAGATCAGCGACTCAATAGTTTCCTTCTTTAAGGCCATTAAAAGCATACATGCGTTTGTTGGTGCTTTTATGTTTCTTTGTAACTTGAATGTGAGTTGGGTTCTTGTTCTGCCTGACTGTAGCCTATTATTATATCTATATTTGTATAGCACTTTATATCTGAACAAGATATTTATACATTTCGTACAGCACTCATATCTGAAACAGGATCTTAATAAACAATTCAAATGAAACGTTCATTAGAGGTGAAATGTACTAATGACATGTTGCTGAGAGTTACCGTGAAGAGTTGATCAGATTTCGCTGGGAACATTAGGACCCTTTCCAGAAAAAGGGTCCTATGTATGTTAATTGTACAGGGGGGACACCCCTTTATGGGAAAAGCGGGAACATAGGGATGACCCCGTTAGATCTCTCCACTGATCCTGAATGATCCTGGACATATTCAGTTTAGCAACAGAAACACTTCCAGCGGCTTCGACCAGGACTCATGCACTCTGGGATTACAGACCTGGTGGTTCAGGCAGCGACCAGGAGCAGGAATAAATGGAGGAAGAGGAGCCAGTTGTAGCCGGGTTAACTTAGTCAGTAACTGTTAACTACCCATCACCACGTATCGAGTCAGTCAGGATAGTTTCAGTGAAGTTGGAAGTCTATTTATTCCGTTGTGTGAACCAACGCAGACTGTGTTGATGTACACTGCTGTTGGAAAAAATATAACTAAATGTTCTGTCTCCTTTCTGTTCTGACACCATTCACAATCATACTGCTGTTTTGTTAGCATCGTAATCTTTGGTTTTTAAACTGTTCACGATACAGAGATTGATAATCAATTACAGTAATATCAGAAACGTTACAACTAAGTCGGACTACGGAAAATCTTTAGTCGAGGCACGCCCCTCCCTTGCTAGGCTAGCTATCGGACTCAAAAAGTCTGAGAGAAAAATAAGAATCTTAACAGTGGTGGACAGCTTCAGTGTTTGAGAAAATGCCACACAAAGTCCCTGTTTGAGGCCCCTCATGGTAGACTAAAACCACAATAAAAGTGCCCCTATTTTTTTACCCATGCACTGCATTCCTTGCCTGAACTAGAGATGAAAATTGATCAGTGCAATAACATCAGTTGCATTCAGTCACTGTGTCCCTGTTGAACACAGTCCTTTACTTGTGGTCGTCTTGGCTCCATTGCCTCCGGATCAAAACACCCTAACTCTACATTTGTAAAGCTCACACACTATCACATTATCTCCTCTGACTATGCTGTCCTGAACAAGTCGCCAATTAGGAATCCCCTCTCAGATTGGTGCGGACGGGCAAATCCTGGTGAAATTGGCTCGATAATCCTTCCAGAGCCGTCCAGCTGGCTCCGGAAAAACATGTTAAAGGGGATATAGGGAGGCAGCTAGCTCCACCGCACTGGACAGTATTTCAGTGGGGATTCGAGCTTAATATAGTATGGATGCAAATTCTTTAAATCTGGTCCTCGTTCAGGGGAGATAGTGAGATGAATGTTGCTCTGGCTGCAGTTATCAGTGCACAAGATCTAAATTAACATACGTAATGAGTGTAAAGAGAACCGGTCATTAGACTCTCTGTGCTGCCTGCCTTCAGATTACATACGACATTTTTAAGATATCGGGCTTCAGAATCAGAGAACTGGACTTTATAATAATAAGAAAAAAAATAAAATAATAGAATAAAGAATAAGTTGTAAAAGATAACTGGATTAGTACTATAATGTAATACCAAACAGATATATAGATAAGACGAAGAAAATATGAAACTTTTATTCTTATATTATTTATATATATAGTATTTCCTAATCCTTGAAAGACCGGATAGTTTAAAAAATGTCGTATGAATCTGAAGGCAGGCAGCACAGAGAGTAGCAGTCTAATGAGGTTCATCATTTTACACACTCATTTATAAACAGTTTCTATGTTTAAATTTATATGATTACTGAATGCAACTGAACGCTAATACAAACTAAATAGTAAATCGATCTCCAAATTAAATAATACTGTCGTGAAAAAAACAGCTCTTGACCAAGACTATAGCTCTGCTTAGCTTTATACTCCAATATTTATATATCATAAATAATAAAAATTGCAGACTGCAAGTGGAGCAGAACCCACGTGTTACTACAAGGCAGGGGGTTACCAAGGCCAACAGAAGGGCAACAACAGAAGCTGTTGTTATTGCTCTTTATGTCATGTCATTGGACTTCAGAAAAAGATTCCCTGAGATACTGAAATACGCTGGTTCATTTCTGGTACTGTAAATATCAAACATATCCAGCTATAACATCAGTTATCAGTAAGGATAACAGCTCATAACAGGATCCGATGTGGTATTCATTTATAGTACTCCGTCCTATCTACAGTTTTATAACGTCCATAAAACAAACCCGTCAAGACATCCCGATACAAAACTACCACGAACACAACAGAACCTGCTGATAAAGATGGGAAAATGAAAAGCGAAGCCAAACAGTAAAATAACAAATAATGGTCCAAGTCTAAGAAATTAACTGGTAGAACATATTATTGGTTACCGTTTTTTAAATGTGTTTGTAGGTTATAGGAACATTTTTTACATTTTTCATCGTCAACCATTACAAATCCTCCATCAGCTAAATTCCCCATCTGTAAGTGCTCTGAAAGGTTCTTTAAAGTCTCGGGCTCTGAACAATACATAAACTATATGAAACTCAATCATTGAGCTGCAGTGTCTCCGGTCCACTGTCCCAATCACTCGTACCCGGGCCCAGGGAAGTTGTTCCACTGGTACTGAAAACAGATCGTAGGTCCAGGAGCATCCCGTTACGCGTGTTGATGATGTCCACTTAGCCCAGTACCGGCAGCTTCCCTGTGGAGGATAAATTAATCAATGAATTCACATCTTCACTTAATCAGACAACAACTATTTTTCCATCCAAAGTTACTGCAGAAAAAAATTTTCCAGAAATGTCAAAATAAAAACAAAGCTTCAACCCTGTGTGATTGACAAGATTTCCTCGATGGACAGACTCAGCTTTAGCTACAAGTAGCTAACTGCTAATGTAACTAGCTGCTAACAGTACTCTGCCATTAGCGGGCAACAGAACGGGCTCAGCAGACGGACCAGCGATCGGAACACAGCCTCCTGAGACCTGTCGGTATAATAACGTTACGGTACCTGAGATCATTTACAGAGTTCTGATGGACAGATTGATCAGTAGCTAACGCTAACTGCTGTTTATAGCAGAGCTGGCCAACACATCCTAATTTATCAGCAAAAAATGTTTTCTTCTTTTTTTGGGTGAGAATTACCGATCTTGGGCCGGAACTCGTTCGTTCTTTTTAAACTCCCGACTGTAGAGGGCGCTGCACCTCGATATATGCTACCAGTCTATGGCACCCGAAGTTTTAAGGCGACAGAAAAGAATAGATGCCGAGAAAGACATGCGGGAGGAAAACTACCTCGAGGAAGACAGACGGCTCTCTCACGGTTTCGCCATGTGACACACGACTTTGGGCATAATTTTGGTCACCCCCGACAAAATCTCACTACAAGGTTTTTTGAAATGTGTTAGCTCGGTCACCCGTGCAGCTAAGCTAACTGACCTTTTCATAAAAACACATAATGCAAAGAGAGAGAAGTGAGTCAGTGTGAGATTGACTGTGAATGAATATGAATGAATGAACAATCTGTCAGTGGGTAGTTTAGATTCCATTCGACTTTCTGTTATTATTCCTCTGTTCTTTGTCCCCTCACACAGTGTTTATTTACTGTGGCCAGCCTCCCTCTGGTGCCAGGAGTCCCTTTCAAGTCTGTATTTAATTTGGAGTGAAAGGGAGACAGATAGTGCTGAGCTTCCTCTCTTCAGTATCAAATAGAAAGATTTCCTCAGGTCAGAAATAACTGTTTTGGTTATAACAGCTTCTTTATTCATAGTTATTTCTCTGAAGTTTGAACCCTCTCTCTCCATGTGTTTCCTTCTCGTCTTCCTCACATAACGTTTTAATGCAGCTCTTCCAGTGTAATGATACCTTATTCCATGCGTTATTCCTCCGAGTACATTAATGCAGTCGAAATTGTTTGCTTTTGCCTCAGTTAAATTGCACGATGTATGCCGTAATAATTATTGTAATTTGACTAAAATAGAAATGTAATAAACTGATATCAGTCAGTGTGTGGAGCTGAACTGAAGTCCTGTTAGTCTCTAAAAGTTTCCCAAATGATCAAAACCAGCCCTAAACTATTCATACAGCTCAATTAAAACGTAACACTGACCTAAACTGAGATATTTGTATAGTTTCATCTCTTTTCAACCAATAACCTCAGATAATGACACACATTGTCTGAGGTTTCCACTGTACTAAAGGTTGTAGATTCAGCTGCAGGAAGTCATTTTACATCCTGCTCTCAAACTCATTTGTTCCTTGCTTTCAGAGAATTAGTTTTTATAAAAATCAACTTGAACATTTTCTCTGACAGGTAAAGCAGCAGAAAGTAAAGAAACTGAAGAAAACGGCTTCAGTGCTTTGATGTAAAACACATCTAATATTCAAATCCTCAAATCTGATCTCACTTATCAGAAACTGGAGACTGAAAGCAATTATCTTCTGAGAAGTGGAGCACTTATCACAAATCTAAAACTGGTCCGTGTCGGCTCTCAATCCAACATGTTTCAACACATATGTCAGTGCAGTCACAGCTGATGATGAGGACGAAGATGAGGAGGATGGTTTGTGTGTCTGAGTGCTTTGTAGAGGAGCAGAGGGAGGATATAAAGTGTCTGTCTGAAGTGGAAAGCATTAACGGATACTGTACATACAGATAAAGGTCACATAGAGCCGTTTATTGGCTCTCTGTGCTCCTACTCCTTTTTTATGGCAGAGTTGAATCATAAATATATTAAGGCAAAGACAGAATGAAAATAAAAGAAAAATGAAAAAATTTTGAAAAAGAATTTATGGGTGAAAACAATAGTCAAAGAAATGTTTTAATACATTTTATTTGATCGAGTTAAAGCCCTAATGAAACAATAAGCAGAGCGCTGTTTGCTTCCTCATATTTACGTGTTCCCTGGAAAAACAGACCTAAAAACAGACCTATGCCTTGTATCTACAGCATTTACATCCACCCTGTATCTACAGCACTGATCTCTGTGCTGTATCTACAGCACTGGCCGCCGGCCTCCATCTACAGCACTGTCTTCCACCCTGAATCTACAGAACTGACCTCCGCCCTGTATCTAGGGCACTGACATCTATACTGTGTCTGTCCTGTCCTCTGTAACTAAGGTGTTATTGTACAGCTAGGGAGGGACTTGTAAATTGATTGGTGCTGAGTGTGTGTTACATCCTCACTGCTATGCAGCTAGTGCTATGAGCTAGCATCAGCGTCTACCTTGAAGTGAACACAGCTGGACCCAGGACCGAACACAATCTCTGAGACTGCTAACAGCAGATACAGTTAGCAGCAGTTAATTAACCGTTACTTTTATATTTTCTTCATAAAATCTGAGTACAGTTATATAGTTGAGCTAGCTAATGTAGCTGTAAATCTAAATCAGTTTCACCAAAATCATTGAATAAAGTTATGAAGTTATGAAGCAGAGTTAAATAAACTAATTTTCATCAGTTGTTAATTAACTAGCATTTGCTTTCAGACTCAACTAGTTGGCTAATGATTTTCATACATTGCGTCAGAAGAGAGAAAGCATTTGATTGGACGCAGCATAAGTATACGCCCCTAAGTGCAGGATGAGTCATCAAATACTTTTATTGATTATCAGGAAACTCTAAAATACCATTAAGAAGACCTGAAAATACCTGAAACAGGACTTGGACTTCCTGTCAGTGTTGGACAGCACAAGATATATGTGATAAAAACACTAAAACATTGATCTAGACTTCTTATATCTTTTGATATATCTGTTGGTTTAGCTGAATAGAAACGTGACGGTGTTTCATCAGCACTCAGTCAGCAGAGAGATAGACTGACAGCTGGGATCACAAAGAAACTGATTGTCAATTTAAAAAGAGCAGACGTTTTAAAAGCCGATGACGGAGTCTATGTGGTGTCTGTTTGGTGTCGGGTAGCTCAATTATTAATTCCTGCCATGACCAGACAACTGCTTCAGATCAATACTCGGGTTAATAGCTACCAGAGGCAACGCACGTCGACCTCTTGATATAAAATGTATTTTGTTTCTCAGTCGATATTCGGCTCATGTTTGTTTCAACTGAGATGAAAAGAAAGTGTTCTGAATCCCTTTTTTTTTATAACAATCACTATATTGTGATCGGACTGAGATGCGCTGTTATCTGAGGAATATGATCCATTTCTTTGGAAACACTGAGGAGGTGAAGGCACCAGCAGCTCTGTTGTGGGCTGATTCCTGTTCTTTTTGTAATTATTAAGACACTAATAAACGGTGAGTGAGCAACTGCCACTCTCATTTTAAATTAGCACATTGCAGGCTTTGCTAATTAGCTGATAAAATAATCTCTCTGGAGGGGAAGATTTCCAAGGCTCTGTCTCATGCATTAAAACTATAAAACTATGCAAATAATATGACGAATAATGCAAATGAAAACTGCAAATAGCTTATTGTAAAAATCGAATCATGTCATATTTACACAAGGTGCTAAATGGTTATTGTTCATCATCCATTTGACAATAATACCCAAGTTACAGGACAGATTCAAGACAGAAGTCAGTGCAGTAGATACAGGACAGAGGTCACTTTAAGTTGTCATCATTGTCTTGCATTATTATGTTGTATTTTTTTTTAAATATATATGTATTAATTCAATCAAATCTTGATTAACTTTCTCTGAAAAACAATTAGTATAAAATTTTGGAACTTCTGTAAAGCTTCTAAAATAAAATAATATTAATAATAATAATTGTTATTGTTACTATTATATGAATCAAATAGACAGTATGGACCTCTGACCTGCATCTACAGCACTGACCTTTGCACTGTATCTATGACAGAAAATGGGTCCCCTAAGGAAAACACCATTGCCCTAAAAATGGGTAAATGGTTAAATCACATGGTGCTGCAGAGAGACCACAATCTTTCCAAAACTTGAACTAAATAATCTTAACACAGCCGTAAAATACTTTCAGTCATGCTTTGCAATTGACGTCTGCTAGATAGATAGATATACTTTATTGATCCCAAGCTGGGAAATTGCAGTTTTTTTTTTTGATAGATAGATAGATAGTAGTAGTAGTAGTAGTAGTAGTAGTAGTAGTAGTAGTAGTAGTAGTAGCTAATTATGTTAATAAAGAATATAATCCATTGTGTTACTTTCTAAATGTATTTGACAAAAGAAGAATACAATATTTTAATTTAGGAGACAGGTTTGAACACAAACCTCCCATCCCTTCAGCTGGAGGCTGCCAGACTAAAGACAATATCACAAAATACTCTTATAATACTGTTTCATTTGCATTTTGGCTGCAGAGTGAAATGTCCAATGGCCAACTACTCGCTCATAAAGGATCCCCGTCCTCCGTTATTGGACCTCTGCAGGCAGTTTATGTTCCAAACAGTGGATGGAAACACTGCCTTTAATGACTGACTTCATTCTGGGGCAATAAGTCTTAATTATTGCCCCTTTAAGGCTGAGGACGTATATCATCTCATCTGATTCTGTCTTTATTAATTAATGCAACTCCGGACATTTTCCGCTTTCTTGCTCTTGTACTTTTTACCCTGAGAGTAATTATGTTGGCTATCTCTACAGGAAATAGCTTGAATGGATGAATTATGCTATATGGCATATTATTTACTGAAACTGGTTAATGAGTACACCTCATATTTAGTTTTACAGGAATTCAAATAAATACAAAGAAATAGATATTTTTGTAAACGTTTTGGCATACTTTGTTAAATAGACCTTTAAGATCACATCCTAAGGGTTCATTTAATATGGACTTTAGTTTGTCTTTAATGCAGATGTTCAGTGTTATATAAGTGGAGCAGCACTGTGAGAGCAAACAGTAATAAGTGGTTCAAAGACAGAGACTGCAACTGTATATGGCAGTGTTTCTCCTTCACGCTGTGTTTGGTCTCGAATAGATCATTTGCCTTGACCACTTCAGTCTACATGAAGGTGTTCTGGTATTTGAATTTAATTACATTAAAAAGAAATTTTAAACTAACAGAGCTCCATATGAGGTACGATGAAGAGCATGTTATGACGGACAATAAATACGGTGATACAGAAGCCATTTTATGACACAATCTAGACAATTTAATGCAGTTTTATACCCAGGAGTGTTTTTATGATCAGTGTTAGATTTTACCCCCTCTGAAGCTGCTGCTGTCTCACACACTCGCTCATGGAGCTCGGCCTCAGAGCGCAGAGCATAAATACGCTGCAGGAGGACGCAACCATCCGTCCACTCACCATTGAAGCTGACGCTGCGGATGTACTTGAGGAGTTTCTTCCCCCCGGCCAAGTCCATCTCGGGGCAGATGCCAGAGTTCTCGGGACACAGGTCCCTCTGCATGTTGTGAAGGGCGTGGGCCATGGCATACACTGCGTCGATCACAAACTGGACCTTGCCCTCCTGCTCGTACTTGGAGTCGATGCCAATACGCTCCTGACCTGAGAGACAGAAATGATCCAGACTCAGTTTACAGGTCCATATCCTTTCCACTAAAACACATTTTATAACTAAGTCTTTTTACAACAAATGTCCACCTGTTCCAGACTGAAAGATCTCACACATTATGGATTCATGCAGATTATTTTCTCCATTAATCTATTAATTATGTGTTTGCTTTGTAAAAATTAAAAAAAAAGTTTGCTTGTTTAGTCCAACCAAGTCTGAACCTCAAAATATTACAAATACATTGAAGTTATTACAATCATTTAAAGGAAAATCAGCAAATCTTCATATTTGAGAAGCTGAAAAATGAATTTTGACTTTCAGTTAGTCGACTAATTGCTTAGGATCCCTTAATGGCAGATGACTTCTCAAAGCACGTATGTAAACATTGACAATGTCCCCATTCCATTAAGTGAATTTTGCTATTGGCTGATCAGGAGGCAGCTTTTATCACAAACCACCTTCCAAATGTTGTTGTCTTTTGAACATTGATTAGCCTAACACATAGCATATTTAAGTATAAGAAGCTGAGGTTCAAAAAGGGGTGGGCTTAGGAAGGGTCAGCTGATTAATGGACTAATGGTTGCAGCTGTAATTTATAACAAAACATCACATTTTATGAACTCTCCAAATGTTTGTGTGTAAAAAATAAAAGCTGTCAGATAAATGAAGTGGAGTTGAAGAAGAAAGTATACTTGTGTTTTTCTCTGTGTTGAATAATGGCGCACATATCGGCTTCCAGAGCTCATATTAGAGACAACAGCCAGGCGTTTAATTCTGTAGTTTTGCTGACTCGCAGCATTAACGTTAATTAGCTACAGCTGATAACATCAGTCAGCTAAAAATGAGGAGGCCGTTGTACTTTGTCATGCATAGTGACTCGAACCAAACCAGCAAACCAGACTCAAACTCCAGAGAACTGTATCGTAGGAGGTCAAAAAGGTTGAGAAGCATGTTGTATTTTTAAATCTTATATGTTTTGTTTGTAAAATATGAATTTGAAAGTGTTCACATGCAGATTTCCTTGCTCATATTAATGATATATTCTGTGTAAAAGTGGCATTTCGAAGAGAAGTGGCGAGTGGTGAGACGGCCGCCGGGACCGACGCTGTTGTGCTGGTTGGTGGTGAAGCCTGAGGGAGTGAAACCTGAGCCCGTCTCAGCAGAAAAGACAAGCGTGTCCAAAGTTATTTGCTCCCTAAACAGCAGCAGTTTGCATTCATTTAGAGTGATAACAGGATTATTGGGACTGCTGCGTCAGTGAGCTGGGAGGATATTGGCCTCTTATGAACTGCTGGATGGACACGTGGTCCGTGCTGATACGGTGGAGGTTCCTCACTGACTGCAGCACTCACTGTTGTTTCAAATGGTACATATGTTTGGTTTAAATTAAAATGATCAATAATTGATCTCAGTTTCACTTGGCACTGAATGGAGGTCATACCCAAAGTCTCTTCCTGTGGAAAGGTGAGAAATGTGTCAGCTGATATTAACCGAGTCAGTGCGTACCAATGTACTGATGGGACATAAACAAATAATCTAGGCCAGGTGAAGATTTTAACATTGCTAGCAGCAGGCTAACATGGCTAATAGATAGCTACATCGCTAGTAGCCAGTTGACTGCAGCCAGCGCAACATACACACCAATAACCCCGATTCAATCATCCAGCTGAAGTTTGTGTCTTAAGCACTAAACAGATATTAGGATGAATCTATTCCCAACGTCACCATTCACCCACAATGAGGCCAACATAGTTTCCATAATTAAACAGAAACACAAAGAAGCTTCTGTGATGATTAAGTTGCCTAAATATACGTGATGACAATGAGAGGAAGAGAGGCAAATAAATGCAGACAATCACAAAGACAGTGGGGTAGAGAGTAGCTTCGTGAAACTGCAGCACTAATCATTAAGATGCACAATTACTTCAGAATGGTTCTTGCTGTGTTTCATGAGACTGGTGGAAACATTATGCAGCAAAATGCAAAATAACCGAAGCAGTTTAAATGGCAGCAGCTGCAGGGTCTCCACTCTCTTTAAGATATTCTCACTTTAAAAGAGGACACAAGTTCTCCTGTGAATTTATTACATTACGACAGTTCAAGCAGATTCTCTATACTTCTGGGAGTTTCATCATTTACTGAGAGAAGCCTGAGAAGTTTATCTGAGCAGTTTACAGTAATATTTACTCTTTACTTCTAACAGAGGAAGCCGGACAACATGGCTAACAGTCAGGTAGTTATATTCTGTAATTATTATCTCTTAATACAGTAGTTTTGAATGGTAGTGTAGTAATGTAGAAATCTGAATCTAGCGTTGGAATGGCGGACTCGCACACTAACGAGGGGTTAGTGATGCAGCATTAGTAGTTTATATCAGTCTCACTGTTTATTGCTAATGCTAACACAACATTGCCTGTTGCTTCACAATAAAAGTCTTCATCTGGAGAGATTGTGTTGTCTTTTATTGTGAAGCAGCCACAGGAAACACAACGTAATGGAAGAGTCAGGAGCAAAAACAAGAATCCTATTATCACGGTTCATAAACAACAGAGATAGGATGCTCTGAATATGCTGATGTGAGCTTTGTTTCTATGCTTCACATAAAGATCATCAGACTCTATGAAATGCATTCATCAATAATCATTTATCGTAAATTCCAGGAAAACAGCACAGATTGATTTATTCAGTCTTTAAAGGTTATACAAAATTCAGTTGCCACTAGATGTCGCAGTAGAGCACCAGACTCCATTCATTAAACCAGTAATTTTACCTCACAGGTAAACGTAATTCAAAATAAAAATGACTAAAACCTTATTTGTTTGTCTTTCCAACAATCACCAACTCTGGTTTGGTTGAAATAAAATAAAAATAAAATATTTGTGAAATGTCACCTGTCGCAGTAAATGTGTCAGCTGAAATTAATTACGATAAATAGCTGATCAGAGTCCCAAAAACTTCAGAGCAGAACCATTTATTGATGGGACTGTGGGATTTAAATACCCTAATAAACAAGGCAAAGATTTAGCAGATTGTACAATTGTTAGCGGAAGGCTAATATCGCTAACAGTGGGATAACATGGTTAACTTTATCTGGACAAACTGTCTCTTACTGCGAAGCAGCCACAGGAAACACAATGTAAAGGAAGAGTCAGACGTGTCCCAGTGCAGAGTACTCGTATAATAATTCATGCCTTTTGTATTGAAAATAAATTAGGCCTAAAAAAGGATTGAATGTGTTTTTCAGTGAAACACATGAAGGAATGTTTAAACCCCATCTGTATGTGCGAATACCCAGCAGGCTGTGCACTTAATTAGTCAGTATTGTCGGTGTAACGGAGAGAGGAAGACAAAGGAGCAGCACATGTTTCAGTGATTTGATGTTCGGTGGCTGCAACAGCGTCGGAGCAAATATATGAGTTCATTATGATCATATGTGCACATGAAAGAGAGAGCGAGCAGCAGAGGCTGCTGGGAGTTTGGATTCACCCCATTAACTCTCCTGTGTCTCCTGGTTTAATGCAGCATCTCTTCATCCTCCTCTTTCTCTCCTGCAAACACATTCAGCTCTGACGCAGCTTATTAACTTATCAATCACCAAACTATGTAGAATATAATATATATTTCATTAATGTTGTAAAAGCTTGTTGTCACAATCGTCCTGTAAACTGAATGATGTGACGGATCAATGCTGCTGTTAATATTCACATTATTAAGTTCTGAAAATCTGAATTTCAGTTGTTTTAAAAGTCTCAAAATGCTGTTTTATATTACAACACAGCTGTTGGCTTAGCTACAACACAACCACTATCTTAGCCAGGGAGGAGCTACACTTTAAACCAGGAAGTTAGCATCGTCCTGGTCCTCTCCACATTTATTCTTTGCATTTTGGAATATTACAGAAATCTCTGTGGCGAAGGCTTCTGATACCGTTGATACCGTAGCATCAGACAGGCGATCAGTCAGAGACACAAGGACGATGTAGAAGGAACCAGATACGACTCGCTGCTTTTCAGTTTGTTGCTTTTGAATAAAAGTGTGATGAAGGAAGATCACATGATGACTGATGCTGCTCTGCTTGTTTTTGACGCTGTTCTACATTTTATATCTTTGTGTTGTTCAGTGAGAGGATCAAATAATAACTGCCGACCACAGTCAAACACAGGTCAAACTGACCTCAGACTGATTGTTGGAGCTGTACTGAAACACTGAGTGGAAACGAGCAATAGTGCGAATAACCCATTGTTCACCTGCCTGTAAGACTCTATACAGGCTAACATAATGCAGTTTACATATTCAGACGCTGCGTTACATTGAGCTCACTTACTGAACAGCATGCCTTTCTGATTCTGCTGATACAGTAAACCCTCCTCCTGTCTAAGGTTTCATAATATTCAGGAATCAAAGAGTCAGGAGAACATGCTCCCCTCGTGCCAAATGAGTTTATATCCAATATAAATCATTCATAAAACATCCAGAGGCTAAAAGCAGCTCTTTAGTCTGAGAGATACTGAGTCAGTGCAGGTAATGAGTCTGAAACACACAAAATACTATTACTGCCTCCTATCCCTCTGTATCTATAAATCTCTCTCTCTCTCTCTCTCTCTCTATATAGATATATATATATATATATATATATCTATCTATAGATATCTCTCTCTCTCTCTCTCTCTCTCTGTATTTATAAGTCTATACCTCTGTATATATATATATATATCTCTATACCTCTGTATTTATAAGTCTCTATGTATCTACAGAGTGCAGACAGAAAAGGAAGAGAGGAAGATGGAAACTATGTGTCTGTTAATGATTCCAGCTGTTTTACTTTACTATGAGCTAAGTTAGCATAGCCCTGATCAACCAAACTCCATTCAGAAAACAAGCATTTTAAACGTTATTTGCTCGTTGTCTCTCTCGTCTCTATTCACAGTTTTAGTTTTGGATACAAAATAAACAGAATTTATTGATTTATTCTTTATTTACTATACTAGTGGGC